ACCCTGACTCAGTCACACATGGTGCAGCAGGTCCTTCAGCGCTTCGGCTTCACGTACTCCTCGCCTCAGGCCACTCCTCTGTCTACTCGCCACTCGCTCTCAGCTCTGCCTTCGGATGAGTCCGTAGAGTCGAGTGGCCCGTACCCAGAGCTTGTTGGCTGCCTCATGTACCTGATGACCTGCACACGACCTGACCTTGCATACCCTCTTAGCATTCTTGCACGCTATGTTGCTCCTGGGAGACACAGACCAGAGCACATGGCTGCAGCGAAGAGGGTGTTGCGCTACTTGTGCAGTACGTCGGGCATGGGGCTAGTGCTTGGAGGGCGGAGTCCAGTGGTCCTCACTGGGCACGCGGACGCTTCTTGGGCTGACGACCAGGCTACGCAGCGGTCGTCACAGGGTTACACCTTCAGCCTTGGTTCCGGCTCTGTTTCGTGGCGGGCTACTCGCTCGTCTTCTATTCTTGGCTCGAGTTGTGAGGCTGAGATCTACGCCGGGGCCATGGCTGCACAGGAGCTTCGCTGGCTCACCTACCTGCTGACCGACCTTGGAGAGCCGCCTCGTTCTCCTCCAGTCCTGTACGTAGACAACAAGGCCATGCTGGCCTTGTGTCGAGAGCAGCGACTGGAGCACAGAACAAAGCACATTGCTCTCCGCTACTTCCTTGCTCGTGAGCTACAGCAACGTGGTCAGTTGCGGCTTGCGTACGTGGCCTCTGAGGCCAACATTGCTGATGTCTTCACCAAGGCACTTCCGCCTTGTGATCATCAGCGCTTCTGCACTCAGCTGGGTCTTGTGCCCGTCTTGCCTCACTTGCTCTCCTCTTGACCTTGTCTGTACTCTCACATATATATATACCTGCTCTTGCTTGTCTAGCTTTATATATATATGTGTGTACTCTTGCTTGTGAACTGGCCGTGTGGCCTTGACCCTGTGCTCGGACTGTGTGGTGACTTTGTGATCCACCCTGAGCTTGCTTTGCTTTACTTTGCTTGACTGGTCTTGTGACCCCTTGTTCTCCCCCACTTTGCCTATGGGGGTGTGTCAGAACATTATAGCTTATGCTGTTGTGTAGGCTATAGTGGGGTATTCCATAGGGGGTACAACCAATTAGGGTTTCATATTTGTACTCACTTCATTTCATAGTTCATTCATTCTTGTTCAAATCTTCTCAGCTCACCCCTTGACCTTGTTTGTACTGTTACATATATATATACACCTGCTCTTGCTTGTCTAGCCTTATATATATGTAATCCTGCATGTGAACTGGCCTTCTGGCCTTGAACTTGTGCTCGGAATGTGTGGTGACTTTGTGATCCACCCTGAGCTTGCCTTGCTTTGCTTGACTGGTCTTGTGACCCCTTGTTCTCCCCCACTTTGCCTATGGGGGTGTGTCAGATTTATATGACATAGCTGCTGTAGGCTATAGTGGGGTAGCACATATGGGGTACAGTTTTCTAGGGTTTGTACTTGTACCCAACTTTCCCTTAGTCAATTTCATTCCTTGTTATTTCTCATTTTGTTGTCGGTACTCAAATACATTTTAGAACATCATATAAAAAACATAAAAATGACATAAATAATTTTTATCCAAATACGACGAAGTAACCAAAGTCGTTTAAAATTCTTTTAGCATGTTACAATTATTTCTTCGCAACCCTAAGACGATTTCATTGCCTCTTGTTTGTTTGTTTTTGTTTTTGTTTTTTTTTTTTTTTTTTTTTTTATGAAGAGGAAAACGTGAGTTAGAACTGCACTATTACGAGCGATTAAGAATAAGATGTGATCAGTGTCCGTACTACGCCTCCTGCTTACAGACGGACGAACCAGGCGTACGAAGAAATCTTTTCCTTGGTATCGTTTGTCAGAATATAATTCTTGTCTAGTCCGTAGTGGGGTACTCAATAGTGAGTATAACCCTTTTAGGGCTTGCTATTTGTACCTTCCTCCTTTCTAGTCAAACCCCCTTCTCCTCTTTTGCCTACTCTATCTTGCCTAGCTTGCTAAACCCTAGCCATGGCTCCTTCATTCTAACTATCAGAGCGGTTACGCTCCTGGCCTGTGGGCCCGCCTGCTTCCGCTGCCATACTGTCTGTCGCGCGCCCCGTGGCATGCGATGTTAATTTTTTCTTCCCGCCACGCGCTCGGGGCGCGTGGCGGTTTTCTGCCCGCCATGCGCTCGGGACGCGTGGCGGTTTCCTGCCCACCGTGCACCCTAGGCGCGCGCGGCAGTTTCGCGTTCCGTCGCGGCGCCCCCCGTCGACCTGCGCGCGGCTCTCTGTCGCCCTTCGCGGCGGCCCCGTCGACCCGGGCGCGGCTCCCCGTCGCCCTTCGCGGCGGCCCCGTCGACCCGCGCGCCGCCCCCGGGGACCCGTGCGCCCGTCCCCGTCGACCCGCGCGTCGCCCTGCGGCCCCCCTCCCCGCACACCTGAGTTCGCTTTCTGCACACCCGAGTTCGCTTCCCGCACGCATGTGCACGCTTTGCGCACACCTGCGCTCGCTTACCGCACACCCAGGGTATGGGGGTGACGGGTATGGGGGTGGCGGGTGTGTGAGCCGTCCTCTGCTCCTCCTCTTCCTCCTCCGTCTCCCACTGCTGCAGCTGCCGCTGAGGGGGGTGGGTGTGTGGGAGCCGAGGGAGTGGTGCTAGGGGGGTGACGTGGGAGTGAAGCTAGGGGTGCAACAGGGGGTGTGAACGGAAGTTTTGGGACAAAAGGGGAGGTTGAAGGGGGGTGGCTGCCGTGAAGCCAGCAGCTCCAGTCGCCTGTGAGACCGTTGCGCCAGTCGCCCGTGAGCCCGTCGCTCCAGTCGCTCGTAAGCCCGTTGCTCCAGTCGCCCGTGAGTCAGTTGCTCCTTCCGCTCATCTAGCCGCGGAGCCAGTTACTCCAGTTGCCCGTGTGCGAGTTGCTCCAGTTGCCAGTGTACCAGTTGCTCCAGTTGCCCGTGTGCCAGTTGCTCCAGTTGCGCCGTGTGCCAGCAGCTTCAGCTGCCGCCCACTACCTCCTCTCCTCTCATAGTCCCTCCTCCTCCTCACTTGCCCTCTGTGATAGCCTCTAGCTTTGCTTATATTTGTGAACTATGAACTGCTGCTTGTTGTGCTGATCATACCCCACTTTGACTATGGGGGTGTGTCAGAATATAATGCTTGTCTAGTCCGTAGTGGGGTACTCAATAGTGAGTATAACCCTTTTAGGGCTTGCTATTTGTACCTCCCTCCTTTCTAGTCAAACCCCCTTCTCCTCTTTTGCCTATTCTATCTTGCCTAGCTTGCTAAACCCTAGCCATGGCTCCTTCATCCTAACTACTATTGTGACATCGTTCTGTAGGCATCACGTAGGGAAGGGGAGGGAAAATAGGAAGCTGCTTGCCTCTCCAATTTTAGGCCCGAAATGGCGGTTAGCCCGGAAAAGGCTAACGTGGCAGTCATTTTCCTTCCGAACCTAAACGAAGGAAAATGCCTGCAGAACAGTCATTTCCCTCCAGGGAAATGCACCCCCAGAAAGGTTCCTATTTCCCCTCACCACCTTCCTCATCGGGCAAATTTATTTGAATCCGCCCCTCCATCGGCCAGCCACCCTTCACGGGGAAGTGCGACGGGGACGGGAGGGAAGAGCTGGGCATGGGAACACCAGCCTCCCACCCAAGAAACAAGCTACTTTGTACAACCACTAACCCGAACATGGTTGCAAATCTCAAATCGAAAAAGAAAAACACACACCAACCACCAAAGTGAAAGCCCTAGCGGCCTGCTCACCACTCCTGTATGTTGGGGTTTTTTATTGTTGAACACGCCCAACCCCAGATAAATACCCTGGTCCTGCATTCGATGGTCACGATTTACTCCTCCATTGGGCGCGAGAAATTCCGCGAGAAGTTCGTCATTTTCCCTCGGAAACTACCTCCCCAAAATCCAAAATTTCCCATCTTGCATGTTTGCCAGGGGGGGAGGAAGGGGGGAAATCGACCTCGGAACCCACCTCAAAACCCTCCTCATTTCCCTTCTCCCTCCCTCATCCAACCCACTTGCCAACTCCGTATCCACCTTGCGGTCAATCCCACGGATTTGGTGCCAAGCCCCAACTCGATCCTCCCTCGGGTTCTATACGCGATGTGTCCCCTTGATCCATATCCAGATCTGGTTCCTCTAGAATCTTCACAGCAGACTTCTCTGCCACGAAACTATAGCGCTACTTTCTCATAGACTTTGGATATGTGGATGTCAATGCCGCGCTACTTTCAGCAGGCTCCCCTTCACCGACATCTCACAGGCCTACGGTAAGTTCGCTATCTCCCAATTTCCTCTCGTTGTGCAGGCTTTTCTGCTGTTTTGCTGCTTCTGGTATCTGCTGCAACTGCCTTCCCCTCCTTTTTCTTGCTTCCCAAGACACATGCACCAAGGAGGTTTTCAGCTTCGTTTGCGAACCTTCGTTTCCCTCTGCCTCGCTGCTATCTGCCTATTTCTCAGCCACGGTTTGTAGATCTTCCGTCTCACGCTGGTTCCCCACGCCACCATACGTTATTCCTATTTCGTGGTCAACCCGCCTACGTCATAATCATTTTTTTTTTGCAGTGAATCGGAATCATACCCCATGCTTAACTCATTCCTGGCCCCCGATCTACTCGCTATCAGCCCTTCACTTGTTAAACTTCTCTCAGTTTCTATCCTTCTGATCTCTGATAAAGACCAAGCTGCCTTTGTCAATAGTGCTTGCTCTAGACTCTTCTATGCTGCCTATCTCTTTGACTCGGGATGCCACCTAAACACCCAGTCGCCTCAGACTCGTAATGGCCACTGCCTATGCACCCGTTTCCCTCTACCCACTTCCATGTGCTCCGGAACAGCCCCACCATGCTCTTCCGCCGAGAACTTAACCCGCCTTCCCTCCCCTTTTCCACATCACCCTCCGCTGCGTTTTCCCTTTTCCCTTGTCTGCATCACCCTACGCTGTCTTTCTCCACCTATCATGGCCGCTTAGCGTCACAACCCGAATGAGGATATGGCCCTCACTGACGACGATCTGCAGCTTGACGCCGAAGAGCTCCAGCTGGAAGATCTTCCCGATGGCGCGCTCCCTGTAGGCCCTCCTACTGACGGCGCCCCCGCTCCCAAGAAGCTGTGCACTGAGAAAGGTGGCTCTGCCACCGTCCCTGGTTCATCCTCCTCGGCAGCCCACGCTATGAATACCCCAGCCCTGATGCCCAACGCGTACGCTCTGCCATCTGCGCCCCTCGCAACCGCTCCGGCAGTCTCTCCTTTCTCCGCGGCCCCTCTCATCCCACCTGCGTACGCGGCTCCCTCTGCTGCCCCTGCTGCCTCTTCGCGGCGATTTCGATTCCCGTTATGCCTCGCCAGAGACTTGCGGTGGTGGATGTTCTCTTCACTGACATCCCACTCCCCCCGCAGGATGACCCCTGCTTTCTCCGCATCCCCGCTGTCATCAACTTCGAGGATGACTCCTCCCCGGCTCTGCTCAACATCTCCTCCCACGTGTGCTCCTTCTGCGGCAATAATCACCGCGACGCTAACAACGAGATTTTCCCCACCAAGCGCGGGCAGCGCTTGACCAACAAGCAGCAACTCTCGTTTGCCCAGCTGCAGCAAGCCAACAGTAAGCCCGTCCCTTCTACCCCATTGCTATATGCCCTTCACCCCCCGGTCGTTGTCGCAAACCCTATTCCTATCTGGTTGTTCTGGCTTTACCCGTGTTATCTACCTTCTCCTTGCTTGCCACCACAATCCGCCCCCTTGCTGCTCTCCCCACTTCGATTTCTGCCCCACTTCTATCTCAGGCCAGCTCCGCGGCTCACGAGTTCTGCTTGCAGCCCCCCCCTTACTCCCTTCCCGCCTCCACCCTCCATGCTCTCCGTACCCCACCCTCCGCTCCACTTCCCATGCAGGACAATTTTCTGGTTCATGAGCTGCGCCTGCAGCCCCTCCTACCCCCGTCCTGTCTCTCCTTGCCTTATCCTCCCTACCCCGAACTCTGCTTCCCCCCCCCCCCCCCCCCCCCCCCTTCCTCTGGCCATTTGCTTGGCTCACAGGCGTTGCGCGCAACACTTTTAACCCCCCCAGCCCGCCTCTTCTCTTCTTACCCTCCTTTCTCCGAACACCCCATCTCTCCCTCATGCCCGTTTCTATGCTCATGTGTTGCAAATGCAGCACTCCCAGCTCCCCCTCCTCACAGATACCCCCCCTGTCCTCCCTGCCCTGTGCTCGGCCTTGGTTCCCTCTTAGGCCAGCCGCCTAGCTTCTTGGCTATGGTTGTACCCCCCTTCTTACCCCTGACCCACCTCTATTTTCCCTGTCCTCTCTACCCCCCTCTCTATCCCACCTCTCTCTCAGGCCAACCTCCTTGCTTACGGGCTGTGACTGCAGCCCTCCCCTCACCCCTAACCCTCCTTTACCCTCCTTGTCCTCCCTACCCCATGGGCGACCCCACTTCCTTCTCAGGCCAGCCTCTCGGCTCATGGACCGCGCTTGCAGCCCTCCTCTCTCCCCAAACCCACCTCTTCCCTCCCTGTTATCCTCACCTGAAACCTTGACCCACCTCCCACTCGGGTCTACGTCTTGGCCTACTGAATGTGCCTGCAGCCCTCCCCTTTCCCCGAACCTGCCTCTTCCTATGCCCCACCTCCCACCCAGGCTAGGCTCCAAGCACCCACTCCACATTTGCAAAGTGCTCTTGCCCCCCACCCTGGCCCTTCCCTCGCTTCCCCTCCTCCCCCGTTTTCAGCCCAGAATTCCTCCATGGGCAGTTTCTTTTGCCCCCACATCGCATGAGCTTCTTCCTCCATTTCCTTACTCTCTTGCTGCCCCTTGACTCCCCACCCCGTCCCTTGCCTTTCAGGCCAATTGCTCGGCTCCCGCGCCACGCCTGCAGCCTTCCGCAACGATCCCGGGCTGCTCTACATTGGTCTCGACGTGGACGTCGAGCCATGGACTTGTGCCTTGTGCAACCTGACTTGCGGCGCCGCTCTCGACTCGGCTATGGCCCACATCGCTTCCGAGCTGCAAGCCGCTAAGAAGCTCTCAGCCCACCTCCCTGCCGCAAAGGAAAAGTACATTGGGTGGAAGGTTATGGCCTTCGTTGCTCTTCCTTAGATCACTGACTTTCTTGCTCATATTTAGATCGGTGGTTGCTGGACGGTCTCAGGCGGATACCTCTGCTTCGGTGTTGCTTTCACTCTGTTGCGTTTAGCAAAGTATCACGCTACTTGCTATCTTGTTACGGCCTTCGTTGCAACCCCCCAGGCTGTCGACTCCCCTGCCCAGCCGCAGGTCGGTGGTTGTTAGACTTCTCCCTGTTTTTATCTTTGTCTTGCTGTTGCCTTAACTCTGTTGTGTACAACACAATTATATGCTACTTTATATCCTGCAACTTGTTTCTGCTCCACATGCACTTTAACCTAACGGACAAGAACATAATACTTCTTCTCCTATAAATCAGCCCGTGGATTCGCTCACCGTGGTGTGCGATGGGCTCTAACTTATCCATCATGATAACCCATCTTAGAATCCTATGCATAAACATCAACGGAATAAATGCCCCTTTCAAAATGAACGATCTTAAAGGATGGCTCGATTTCTTCGGAATGAATATCGACATCCTTGTACTAGTTGACACTCGCCTTACCGACAATGTGAAAAGGCTAGACCTTCGCTTTCGCCCTCATGCCTATGCCCACACCATGGCCCGCTACTACAACGCCCCCTCGTCTGGCGCACGTCCCTCCCCAAGAGGCATCTCTATTCTCGTCTTCAACAAGTCCATCTCTCTTACTTCATTCTCGACGTCAACTTCCATCACGAGCATATAAGGCTCATAGCTATATACGCACTGCCTCATGTTATCGACAGACGCCCTTGGTGGCGCTCACGCCTCGCGCCGATGCTGGACTCTCCATCGGCTGCGTCAGCTACCTTACTCGTCGGGGACTTCAACTCTGTGATCCACCCCTTTGATCGCAACCGCCCCCTGCACGGTCATGAACGAAGTGAAGCGTCTGTCATCGAGGCACTTTTGTCCGAACACTCGCTCGTTGATATCTTCCGAGCACTCCACCCTAACGCCACCGTCTTCTCTTATTTCAGCCGTCCTCGTGCAAATCCCCGACTTGTGGTACCCCGACCCGCCCCAACACCATCTATAGGCTCTCCACCTGCGGTCCCCGCACCCGCAATACCCCGACCCGCTATCCCTCCAACAGAGGGCCCCCCGCCCGCAGTACCACCACCCGCCTCCCGACTGGACCGGATGTACATCTCCACTTCCCCACAGAACTGACTTGCAGGTTTCCCCTACCTCCTCACCCCCCTCATCATATCCGATCACTCCTGCGCTCCATTATGCTCCATAGCGTTCGAGCTCCCCTCCAAAGCCCCCCCTCCATGGAGTCTTAGCCCATCCCTCCTTTCCCATCCATACATAGCTAAGGTTTTGGAAGATCTCATCCCCGCCTTGCCTCCCTCTCCGTCTCCGGAAGACTGGGATGCATGGAAACATGCCCTCACGCTCCGCCTCAAAATGTTTTCCAACCAAGAAAGATGTCGTGTACAAGACTCTTGAGGATCTACATCACCTTATCAACCATCTCCAACTTCAATCTGCAGTCTCCCCATTAGACTCGAAGTCAGCCTCACGCCTTTGCAAGGCCCAGCAGCAGCTTGCGAGATACACTGCCGCTAAAGCCGCTGAAGTTGATCTCAATTCTAAACTCAAGGTCGAGGGCCACCGTGAGATGGGGATCTCATCTCTTCTCGCATGGATTAACTCCGGAAGACTGGGATGCATGGAAACATGCCCTCACGCTCCGCCTCAAAATGTTTTCCAACCAAGAAAGATGTCGTGTACAAGACTCTTGAGGATCTACATCACCTTATCAACCATCTCCAACTTCAATCTGCAGTCTCCCCATTAGACTCGAAGTCAGCCTCACGCCTTTGCAAGGCCCAGCAGCAGCTTGCGAGATACACTGCCGCTAAAGCCGCTGAAGTTGCTCTCAATTCTAAACTCAAGGTCGAGGGCCACCGTGAGATGGGGATCTCATCTCTTCTCGCATGGATTAACTCCCGCATTAAAGCCTCCCTTATCTCTTCCCTCACCCTGCCTAGTGGACAAACTATTAGCGATCTCCCCTCCATGACCACAGCCTATTCTAGCTTCTTCAAATCTCTTTACATCGGCATCCCGTCTGCCTCCCCAAATCCCAACTTTTGGCAACACATCCCTCGCTCCTCCTCCCCCCCTGCCCTTGCCTCCGCACTCGCAGTCCATTTCTCCCTTCTCGAAGTTGGCAAAGCCCTAGGTCAGATCTCGCGTGGAAATACCCCAAGCCCAGATGGACTCCCTAGAGAATTATTCAGGCTATGCAAACCTCGCTTTGCTCCAGCCTTCCTGGCTCTCCTGGCCCCGGCCCCCCTCTATGCTCTCCGGTCGGATGGTGCTCATCCCCCAAAAAGGGGACGCATCCCTAATATACAATCTTCGCCCCATCACCCTCATGAATGCAGACTACAAAGTTCTGGCTCTCTGCTTGGCTAACCGACTCCAACGACTCCTTACTCTCGTTATACATCCTTCTCAAACGACCTTCATCAAACACCGCAAGATAGGTGACACGATTAACGACACGCTAGATATCATGGACTGGGCCACTTTCACACACACTCCTCTCCTTGCCTTGACGGTGGACTTTCGTAAGGCCTACGACCTGCTGGACCGGCCTTTCTTATTTCAGGCTCTCTCCCATCTTGGTGTCCCGGAGAGCTTTATCCAGTGGATCCGCCTCATGCACTCCAACACTTCTACCCGCATCTCTGTTAACAATATGGACGGTGCCCCCTTTCCGGTGCGTACTGGCGTCCGGCAAGGCTGTCCACTCGCCCCCCTCTTTTTCGTCTGTGCCATCAAGATTCTGCATCGCTACATGTCTTTATACCTCCATGGCTTCCCCCTATCGCCTACAAACAGGCGCCTCATGGCCTGCTATGCAAACGATGTTACAATTCTCCTTTCCTCAGACAAAGAGCTCGAAACTGCCACTGCCCACCTTCTGTCAGAACATTATAGCTCATGCATATTGTGTAGGCTATAGTGGGGTAGCCCATAAGGGGTACAACCCAATTAGGGTTATTACTTGTACCCAATTCATTCATAGTTCATCCATTCCTTGTTTCTTCTCATGGTATCGAGCAGGTTCCCCCGTGGGAACTGTTCCTTGGGCCCACCGTTTTTTTTTCCTGCCCGGAGCGCACTCAGCCCCTGCCCGAGTCGCGCTCCCCTCTCTCGCGCCGCCCTAGCGGCCCCTTAGCGCCGCCCTCGCGGCCCCTTCGAGCCGCCCTCGCGGCTCTATCCGCCGCCCTTCGCGGCCCCTACTCCGCCGCCCTCGCGGCCCCGATCCGCCGCCCTTGCGGCCCCGATCCGCCGCCCTTCGCGGCCCCGATCCGCCGCCCTCGCGGCCCCTTCTCCGCCGCGCTCGCGGCCCCTATCCGCCGCCCTCGCGGCCCCGCTCCGCCGCCCTTGCGGCCCCGATCCGCCGCCCTTCGCGGCCCCGATCCGCCGCCCTCGCGGCCCCGCTCCGCTGCCCTCGCGGCCCCGATCCGCCGCCCTTCGCGGCCCCGATCCGCCGCCCTCGCGGCCCCTACTCCGCCGCCCTCGCGGCCCCGATTCGCCGCCCTCGCGGCCCCGATCCGCCGCCCTCGCGGCCCCTTCTCCGCCGCGCTCGCGGCCCCTACTCCGCCGCCCTCGCGGCCCCGATCCGCCGCCTTCGCGGCCCCGATCCGCCGCCCTAGCGGCCTCCGGCCCCTGCTCCTACGGCCCCGGCGCCTGCTCCTACGGCCCCCGCGCCTACTCCTACGAGCAGCCCACCCGCCGAGCCGCCCAGCAACCGAGCAGCCCAGCCGCTGAGCCGCCGAGCCGCCCAGCAAACGAGCCGCCCAGCCGCCGAGCCGCCCAGCAGCCGAGCCGCCCAGCCGCCGAGCCGCCCAGCAGCCGAGCCGCCCAGCAGCCGAGCCGCCCTGCCGCCGATACGCCCAGCAGCCGAGCCGCCCAGCAGCCGAGCTGCCCCGCCGCCGAGCCGCCCAGCCGCCGAGCCGCCGAGCCGCCCAGCAGCCGAGCCGCCCAGCCGTCGAGTCGCCGAGCCGCCCTGCAGCCGAGCCGCCCGAACCGCCCTGTCCGGTAAGAGCAGCGCCTCTCTCACAGCACTGCCCTCACCCTACTGTTTACACTGCTAGTCTACTGCTGTCATGGCTACCCCTAGTGTCCTCGCTTTTGACGCTGAGGGTCGGGCCATTGACTTTGACGTCTGGATAGATGACCTGCAGCTTTTCTTACAGTGCGACAGAGCAGACGGCCTCTCCCTCTTTGACCTCACTTCTGGTGCCTCTCCTACCCCCGCTGCTGATGCTGACGCCACTGTTCGCTCACAGTGGGCCACGCGCGATGCTGCTGCACGTCTTGCTGTGCGTCGCCACCTACCTACCTCTGAGCGTGCGCACTTTAGCCAGTACAAGAGTGCTCAGACCTTGTACGACGCTGTAGTTGCACGCTACTCCTCCCCTGCCACTGCTGCACTGAGCCGCCTCATGCTACCGTACCTCTTCCCTGACCTTGCTGCCTTTCCCACAGTCGCTGACCTCATTACGCACCTCCGCACTAGTGACACTCGCTACCGCGCTGCGCTTCCTGCTGAGTTCTGCGCCAAGAACCCCCCCCCCATGTACATCACCCTCTACTACATAGTCACCCGTCTCCCTGACTCCCTTCGCGTAGTCAGGGACCACTTCCTCTCGGTTTGTCCCACCACTCTCACCGTTGACCTCCTCGAGAAGGCCCTCCTAGCAGCAGAAAAGAGCATAGTCGCTGTAGGAGCCTCTCGTGGTGACCCTCGCACCCCCATCTTTGAGGGGTGTTCCCCCTCCCCTCTTTTGCCCTCTGTTGCCTCTGCTGCTGCGGCCGACCTCGCTGGTTTGGAGTCGGTTGGGGCAGCGTCTACCCCTAGCGGGAGACGCCGCCCTGGCAGGGGCAAGGAGGGCAGGGGCGCTGGAGGAGCTAGCGGGGGCGGTGGAGGCGGCGGTGGAGGCGGTGGAGGAGGTGGGGGTGG